GCAATGACACGCCCAAAGCGACATCTTTGTGTGATCGGAGACTCAGACACAATAAGCAAGTACGTACCCTCTTCGTTCCCAATTCATGTCCCCGGTATCACTACCCTTCCTTGTTGGTCCCACAGCCGATACCTCATCGTCATCGCGGAGTCGCGGACTTCGGTCATACCCGAGAACGTGGGCGTCGGGACGTGGTCTTTGCGAACAAGCAAATCTGAAACCCGCGTAACTCGAAACTGCCGTGACACGCCCCCTTGCTTTGTCACACGGGAACCCTTCGTCACCCACACCGAGACCAGACCCTCGGCACCCTGCTATACGGCGGAGGATTCTATACGCTCATCACACCACAGCGCCATGCATTGTTGCTGACTTGATTGATTCACAGGGGCTCCAAGTTTCTAAAAGCCTGGATGCAGCATCTAGAAGACCACGCCGATCTCAGGTATCCGAACTTGGCAGACGTCTACGTAGACCAAGAAAACGGCGGATGAGGGGTGTAAGCAAGCGAGGCTGTAACACATGCGCTGTCACGGGCTCCCAAACAAACAATGTCGGAGTTGTGGTTCGCTACTACATGTTGGAGTGGTGTGGGGAGGACATGGTCTCAGCGCTATGGTTTGGTTCGCAAGCGAAGCGCGATACTGCAGCCATGGTATGCGGCGTGATTTTAGCTGCAGTAGTCCCGCGTCAAAGTCGCGAGTCGAGACAGCTCGCGCCAAAACACCTACATACGCCGAATGTCATCGCCAAAGTGGCATGCGGCATGAGACTACGGTGGTAAGACGGCGAAGCAGGGCTTGCATGCGATTACATATATGCGCAAAAGAGAAACGAGAAGGACCAAAAGAGCGCGCAGAATAGACAGCGAGTAATGGGCTCATTCTCTCAAACTCTTTATGCTGAACGGTGTCGTGCAGGATAAAAAGTGTGTGGTGGCGAGTCGTGACCATCAATACATGGCGCAATAATATCGAGCAATCAGCGCAGGCCGGAAACTTCATCAAAACGGCGCCCAGCGCTTGCGACGTCGCTTCTGTCAACGTCTTTCGAGACCCTTCGGCTACCGTCGACCAGCCTCCCCTATTAATCATGTTTACATCAACGTACATCGTCAACAGGTAACGCGTGCAGTAGAGTACCAAACAGTCGTGATAGACGGTGTGGTGTGGGCCAGAGCAATGAGCCCCAATCAGGCCGTCGTCAGAGTTAGTCCGCGGACAGCCTCAAACGCGTTAATGCAGGCTGGAGCAAGGATTCCTGTTAGTCTGCACGGCCGAGGGTCCATGACATGACATGCGTCCTGGCGACCCCATGTCTTCTCGAGCTCAGACCTGACGCGACAAGAGGAGGGTTCGTGGAACGCCTCGGTCAGTGCTGCAAGCCGCTATTTGTAGACGCAGAAGGATTAGCTCTGCGACGGCTTTACTGGGATTTGAGATGGCGGTTCTGGACGAGTGGTAAGTTTGAGAGGTCGACAGGGAAGCTGAGGTCCAAGACGTGTTAGCCGCATGTTTCAGAAGGGCTGAAGAGGACAGTGGCCGAGCGCGCCTGCGCGTGCCGTGCTGCAGCCAACGAACGTATCGATTGCAACAGTCCGCTTTGGCGAAAACATGCAGCTGTACTGGACGCAAAACCCCACAGCCCCATCGCCAACAACCTGCACGTCGTTCGTTCGCGCAGTGGTCCGACTTGTTGGCCTCTCATGCAACGCTTGTGCAGCAGCGATCAGGCCTTTATTTGTTGCTGCAGCCCCCCAGCCCCCGTTGTGTTGTGGTCAAAGGTAATGCCGGTCATACTGCTTGATTCGCAAATGCGCCATCAATAATAGCCTCCTCCTTCCCGCCGCGCCCCCCATCCGACTGACCCTCCCCACTCTATTGGCACCCTTGTCCAAAGGGTACATGACGCTCTCGGTCTGATACATAGACCCTAAGAGCGCCGCCCCCCGTTCTTTTGCTGCTCTTCTCGTTACGTCGTCTGTGGCACGTCTCTCTATTGTTTAACCTCGTCGCTCTTTCTGATCGAGTTCGCTTCTTTCGAGTCTTGGGGGCTATCGTTGTTAATTCCTTATTGCCTATTCTTGCCTTGCATCTATTTTCGGAGGAGGGACGTTTGCCGCGCTTGTCGCTCCGGTCCGCCTTTGCTTTGCTTCTTATCCATCAACTGCTTTCGCAACATCGGTGATGGTAGTCGAGATCCTCACGCTCGCTGGGTCATCCCGGTAAACCTCGCCTAAGCGCAATTTCCAGAACTCGTCCGCAGAAGCGCATTCGCCAACAGTGCCCAACACTCGGAATCCAAAACATTGCAGCATCCATATGCTTCAAAGAGAAGGCTTTGTCGTCGCCGATATGAGTGCGTCGACGCCCTCGCCCTCGCCTCTTGAGCGCTCCAGCTGGAAGGCTGAGGCTATCAGAAGAGGGAACTTAAAAATTAGCGGGCCGATCCCTATTACCGAGGATGTGCCGTTGAACGAAGAGGAAGAGAAGGAGTACGCGGCAAATGGCGCGCTGGACCGGACACTGCAGCCGCAGGACGCGCCAGAAGAGCAGTATGAAAGGCCGCAAACCCCGCCAAGACCACTTCAGTCTCCTCCGCCTGTGCCTGAACAGCATATGTCAGCCTTGCGATCAAATCCTGTGGGAGAGCAGCAGCCCCAGCGCGATTCGGCTGTTCCCGAGCGCCCGATTTCTTCAAGATCCCCGCCAAGAGTGCGACACTTGGACGAAGTACAGCGCGAAAGCATTGTGCCATCGACTTCGATCGCTTCCCCGTCGCCGTTTCGCTCCACGCCAGAGAGCGCCGGTAAAGCTGCGCAGAAGAAGAATAAGCGCAAGAGCGGCCTCAGAAATGTCTTCCGTAAGATGTTCGGGCGAAAAGGCCCGGACCGAGCGGACGATCTGGAAGAAGAGCCAATGCAGCGTGGCCACAGCTACCACCATAGTGTGAGTTTGTCTAGAACAGCATGACGAATGAAATCTGACGAAGAACAGGACACTACCATGCTGAGATCAACACCACCAAGAGAACCAAGGACACCCCCGTCCAATCCTCGGATATCTGATCTGCCAGTGGAGGAGCTACAGCCATTACATCCGCTAGGCCAACATCTCCCGTACCCCATGAACGTGAATGCGCCGCCGGCAAGTCCGCCGAAAGAGTACCTTACATTCGATACGGACAGGCCGGATCTCGGTCGCCGAAGAGCCACGCTGCCCACTGTACCAAGTGCCATTACTCATCGACACAGTTTCGACGAGCCTCGGGAAAAGCTGGCAGCGTGGGACGAACAGGCTGAAGAAGATGAGATGTCTCCCGGTATCGGTATCGCACTGTCTAGCCCGACTCAAACAGTAACGTCCAAACACGACAGACGGAGATCAAGAAGTGCAGATGCTCTTCACAATCTCGCAAAAGAGCGCGCCTCGACGGAGAGAGGCAGGAGTGCGGAGATCAAGTTCTGGAGGGAGAGCTACATGTCCGGCAGCATCTATAGTAGACCGCAAACAGCGAAGACTGTAGAGACGGTCCGCACCGTGCCGATGCAAGAGCCCATGATCCGAGAACCAGACAACGAGTCGTTCAACGAGATGAGCGCGACGCTCGTTCAAGCGGACGAATCGCAGACCGCGACGCCGATTACGGAAGAGCCTAACCGCGAGCAAGAACGTAGTGTTCAGCCCCCAGTCTCAGCCTTCAACTTTGGTGACCTGAAGAATGCGTTGTTTGGACCCAAGGAAGAAAATATCCCAGAATCACCGCAAGTCCGAAGCATTTCGCCGCCGCCTCCGCCACCAGCGAAGAGCCAACATCGCATACCCATCGAGGATCGCGTTCAAGATCTTGAATCCAGGTACTCTAATCTCGAAACACTCACCCGCCGGATGTCATCCCGTAACAACCGGCAAACCATCATCCTCGAAAACGCACCTCGCAACCTGCGATCAAGGAACCGGAGTTCGTCCGCGTCTGCATCGCGCTCTCACTCAAGATCGGCACCGAGCATTCATCAAGAGCTCATCGTCCAATCAAGTAGTGAGACCCTTGAGCCTGAGCCTGCGCCTGGTTCTCCAACGCTTGCCGGACCTCCCGTTCCTCACACTGGAAGCAACGAGGAGAATGCGCGAGCGCTGCGGAACGTCTATGAGGCGCTCAGACACGAGAGGAGCGCGAGGAAGGCCTTGGAACAGCAGGTTCGCACTCTGCAGCACGATGTGTCGGACTTGCATGCCCTGGTGAACAAGCTCATCGTTTCGGCGACTGCCACATCGCCGTCGTATCCTACTCCTTCGCCCGACACCTTGATCATCTCGCGTGAAGGCGATCAGCGGATAAGCTGCTCCACACCGCGAGCTCCAGCGCACGACCGCAATATCGTCTACGGCCAGCCCAGCCACGACAGGAACCAGCGATGGGCCAACGACGACGCGAGCGTCTACTCTGAAGACCTGGCCCGCAAGCCGAGCTACGACGATGTCTCGCCAGAAGTATGGGCTACGCCGAAGGAGGAAGGATTTGATGGGAGTGGGTTCTTCCATGGCGACGACCGGGTAGGAGCATATGCTTGAGGGCTTTTAGGTCGCTTGATGCGGTCTCGAGACGTGGAATGATTGGTAAGATTTTCTTTCCTTCTGGATACGGCCGGGCATGGCATGACCTTTTGGATGTTTGTAAGATACCCAGCGTGCGCGTTGTTATGGCGCGCGCTTCTGTCGTTGAGCGATTTATTATTTCTTGTGTCTATTATTTGGTTTAGCGAGCGAGCGTATTGAATGCATCCATTGTTACTCCGCTGAGCGTTGCCTCTGTTTGTGAGAAGTCTGGTGGTCCTGGTGCTGTGATGATACAGCTGGTGAGGTGAGTACTTTTGGAAGGTGCGACTCACTCTCACCTCACGGGACGCGGACCCACTTCAGAGAAACTTGCAGAACACATCTCGCGTCGCGCGGAGACGACCCATCTCTCCAACAACAACCCATATACGACAGCTAGGCGAGATGACCTTTCCTGCGGTGCAGAGAGGGTTCGAGGACAAGGCTGCCCTGTAAGCACAGCGTGGAGTAGCATGAACCAGCAAACTAACAACGTGTAGTGCGCACGAAAAGATGATCACTATGAAGATTGGTCGGGGTGGTCAGGCTGTATTTATGGTCCCTGAAGATAGCATACGCGCCTCATCCGAGTTTGTCGATGCCGCGATGAGAGGACCATGGCAAGAATCGCAAGAGCGCTCCATCTCACTACCCGACTTCGACAAGCAGGACTTCGGCATATACTTTCACTGGCTTCTTTCAGGTGTCATTCACACTAGACAACGTAACGATCATGCACCATCGGCCTTGTTTTACGAGATCGTGAAGTTGCCTGGGTTGTTTGATCTGGGTCATTACTTAGTCGACACCGACTTTAGGGATGCTCTAAGCGACGTTCTGGTACAATGCGCAAGCGAACTAAAGCGTGTCCCATACTCGTTCCCACCAGAGTACGGAAGGTGGTTTTACAAGAAGGTACCGTCTGGATCGCCCACAAGAAAGCTAGTTGCAGACCTCATTGCGTGGACGCTGAATGAACAAGAACTCGGAAGTTTGGCGGCAGGAAAGCTCACTAAGGAACCGGAGCTATTACTGGATGTCCTCCTAGCCGTTGGTGGAAGATACATCACTCGACCACCCAGAAATTCGCCATTTGATGGTTGGAAGACGAGCTGCAAGTACCACTGTCACGGCGACGAGAAGACTTGCTACAGGAAGAAATCCGACACGTACGTAATATCCTCTGCTCACGCCATGATCACAGCTGAATGGGTCTAGGTCTCGCACTATCTCAACGAAACGCCCAGCTCCCGACGACACCCAGTCACCAGACGCAAAGCGACGTGCTTGAGGATGGACTGTACATACTGTGGACTTGTGTCAATGGTACACGATCTGCTTCGACTGACGAGATTCTGCGCGAGACTGAATGCCTAGCGTGGGTCGTATGGAAGAATAGGGATATCACGCGCACCATGACCCACGAGGTGGAATTCGGAACATTTGCTGTACCCAATTTGTAGATACAGATAAACGTGAAACCAGATACTTGAGCGAGAAGTCAGAAGTGGTTCACCATACAAATGTGAGAATGAGGTGAGAGAAGCTAGTCGCTCCTTCCCTTTCACATGGACTCTCGGCCAGCACTACGTCATTCACCTCGCGCGGCTGCCTAATTCGGATTTTCCTAATGTTTCTTAGAGCTCTAGACCTTTCTAGTCACCGTGCCTCTTTGTCTTACACCGCGTCTTCCACTTGCACACGTCTGCGCCATATCCTCGTCACCGCGCTCGCACGCGAAGCGCTTTACTGCCATGATGCCGCTGTATCCTGAGAGCAAATTGCTGTGGTAAGTACAAGATGCGCATTTCATCGACTCTACTAACATGAATCAGCATGGGAACTCGCGTCGTCACCATCAGTGTCGGCATAAAACCCGATCACGAAGATTTCACGGTCCACGCAAAGCTTATCCGAGAATCTTCAGCTCTAATCGATGCGAACTTGCTAGCGGATGATAGCGAAAATAAGGAAGGCCCGATCGTCCTCACAGATTACCAGCCAAAAGACTTCATGATCTACGTTCAATGGCTGTACACCGAACGCGTCCTTATGGAAGCTGAAGGTCTCGCGAAGATGGTGCATGAAGGTCGAAAACTGATCAGAGGCTACCTTCTTGGATGCCACCTCGACGACGATGACTATAGGGACACACTAATGGACTCCCTGATGGAATGGGGAGACAGAACCAACGCCGAAGATTTTGCCACACTGCTTTCCGAGATCATCCAAACCGTATTCAATCGCACTGATGCCAACAATCCACTTCGAAAGTTCATCGCAGACTACACTGTCTGGAACACGGACTATGAATACTGGGCCAATAACTACCAGTTATTTCCCGACAGATTCGTTGCGATGGTTTCGCTCGGGAATTCTTATCGCTGCCACCTTGACGGCTCTGGCCCTTCCGATCGTGCGAATGATGAACCTTGCTTGTACCACTGCCATGAAGACAGGATTTGCTACAAAGAGAGGTCTGATAGGTAAGATGCTTATATATCTCTATATTTACATCTGCTCACATGTACGGGACAGGATCAGCGACTATACTCGCCCGCCCCGTCGTGTCCCAAGAAAACGTGTCGCCAAGAAGCGTGCCCGCTCAAACAGTATTGTCGAAATCAAATCAGAAAGCCCTTCTTCTGACATACTCGACTTTCCGAACTCATCCGATTTCGTCTGAAAGTGGAGTACCCGTTGAAGCCTGCTCTAGACTATAGGGGAGGAGGACAGCTGATTCAGCCTACTATATGCGCAGATTCAGGGATGAGGCTTTTTAGAGTGTAATTCATTAACAATTATGTACCTAAAAGACTCGCTAATACGCTTGTAACGCTTCAAAATCATTTCCTTCCAACGTTTCGTACATATCGTACATCATCATTCACACTTCCCTTAGTTAACATGGGGAATGTATGTAGGACCCCTACCCGCCTCAAACGCAGGTCCAGCAGGTCCATCGACATACGCAGTATCGTGGTTGGCAACATAAGCAGCATTGGGGTTGGCAATGTACGCGCTATCCCTCATGCTCTCGCTGTACCTAGCCTCCTTGACAACCTCGGGCCTCTGGTCACCCTTGCGGCCGAAGCTCCAGGCGCCGAGCAGAACAAGAGCGAAGATACCGAGGTCGCATAGCTCGCCGAAGATGATGAAGAGGAAGGCGAGCGCCTGGTTGGTGGTGCGTGAGTAATTGTTTGTGTTGCGGTAGAGGAGGACGAGCTGCGCGATGGAGAAGGCGTTGCGGACCCAGACGATGGGGGTGACGAGCATGACGAAGCGTGTGAGGGCTGACTTGGAACGGTTCTAGATGTCGTCAGTCCATGCATTTGCACAGAAGGAGGGGGGTAAACTTACACCGACAACACCGTTCTTCTTGATCCCAATCCAGCAAAGGATCGCCTCAAGAGTAGCACTAGTCGACGCAGCGATGACAGTTGCTACGTAGACAACATATAGTGTCCTCACCATGTAGTCGACAGCAATAAGACTTGGGTACGCCAACGCCGAGTTTCCACTGCCACGGCGCGCAAGACCAACAGCCCAGCTAGCAAAGCCAAGAGCAAGGATAGCCAGCATCCAGAAGCCGTTCAAAGCCCAAGACAGGACACCAGGCTCCTTGATGCCAGTGCCGTTGTTCTGGACGTGGTTGGCGTGGATCCAGATGGCGCCGACGATGCAGGCGTTCATGATGATCATGGCGCCTTGGTAGGTGAAGGAGAGGATGGAGATGATCTTTCCATATTTGATGGAGTCGTTGTTGCCGAAGGGTTCGGTGTACTGGGGGTAGGCGTAGGCGGAGGTGATGTAGAAGGGTGATGGGAGGCGGGATTGGAGGGCTACAATGGAGGATTGTGCGGCATAGGCGATCATGAGGGTGGTGAGACCCGTGATGAGGAAGAGTTGTGTGCCAGTGGAACTGTTGTGTGTTAGTTGATTTGGTATTGGATAGAAGGGGCATGAATTGGTGTACCTGTGCCTGTTCAGAGTTGACCTGTTGAACTTCTTGAATGTACGGGGTCGTCCAGGGCCGCCGACGAGCTGGCGACCGAACAACGCAAGAGCAGCCAGAATGAGGATGATGGAGCCGCCTGCTGTAACGACATGTAGGGCGAAAATTGCCTGGACGGTGGAGGTGGTGTTGGTAATGGCCATTGTGCGTGTTCGGTGGGTGTGCAGGACAGCACCCTTGTGAATTAAGTGATGAAATTGATTACTATACTGATTATACTCTACCAACATGCAAACTTGAGGGTCTTTATCATATCAACCAAACCTATGCGGTCATACCTCACGAGCCCAGACCATGACGATGCCTTGCGATGAACTGCTGTCAAACTTTACCAACGTTGACGCGCATCGAGACCAACAGCTCCCTGGCCTGGAATTAGCCATGTGACTAACTGTGGTCTCTGCGGAGATCGAGCAATGAAAGGGTTCGGTGCGAGTCGCGACGTTGAAATGAGCTTGGGTGAATGACGTTTAGCGGCGCGCGGAGAGTAACGGAATGACGTCGCGCGTCGCTAGCAGAAGCAACATGGCCGTCGCAGCCGGTTGCTTTTTCGTTTTGCGTGAACGATTATTTGAGATATTTGGCTTGAACCGCCGAAGATCGTCGCAGTCACGGTAGTGCCATCGTGGAGGTGGGAGCGCGGGAGATGTGTTCGCTGGCGCGGTGATCTGCCCAGGGGTGTTCTTGTTTGTGGGCTCGACGGTGACGCGCTAGCGGTCGGGAACGTGATGTGCCATTGCCAAGTGGGCTCTGCAGCAGGATTTTTCGAGACTTTCAAGAACACGACGATGGTAATGAAAGTGGTCGCGCATCGAACGCACGAGGATCGAGCCGAGGTCAGGAAGAAAGTCAATCAGGATGGATCACGGACTGGATGATGGCTCTTCATCTTGCAGTCCATCAATCGCTTTTCCCAACCCCCACAACCCTCCCACTGCCTCGGAGTCCCAGCTCTTCAGGCGTCATGAACCTCCGCACGGCCTCAATGTCGTTCCCGCCCCAAGCACCCTTCCCACTGCTGCGCTTTCCGTGTTGTGCTGTTTCATACTCATCTTTGTGCCATCCACACCCAAATATGCAAAACATGCACACGACAACGAACAGCGCCATGACTGCGAGGATGAAGATGAATAGGGACCAGATACCGGAACTAAGCCACGTTACAAAGGACGCAGAAGCCGAGTTAACAACATGAGTCGCTGTACCCTTCTTGCCATTGTCGTCCCAATCATGGAACCACATTGCCGTTTTTTGTATGCGCTTGCCGTTTATGCTGGACTGTGAGCGCGGGATGAGTGCAGCGCGGATAATCTCGTACGCGCTAGCTGGGTCACCCGCGGACAACAGGGGACGCTGCAGAAGGACGAGTTCCAGGATCTTTTGCTCTTTTCTGTCCATAACGATTGTGAGATCCGGGGAAGTCAGATCAGTCCACAATTGCATGATATCGAAATGCAACACTAATGCATTAGAGTCTTTGACGTGGCGCAGGGAGTAGGCGTATGAAGCGCCAAAGTAAGCGCCGCCAAGGTTGTCAAGCTGATCAGATGCGACGAGCTTGTCGAGATCATCTTTCGATGTGTCCAACAAGACTTGGTTAACGTATACTTTTGGTAGAATCTTGGAGTCTCCTAAAAGTGGGGCATTGTTGATGCTTAGATGCGCTGAGTCGTAGGGAAGGGAGATGTTCAGAAGCTGGGGCACGTTAGCGGGCGATTTGGTCTCCTTGACATTAGGGATGGTTTACCAGAGCGTTGTCGTCTTTTCTCTGAGCCCATGGCGCATCGTTGCCTTTTGATGTGTCTTGGTATAGGAAAGGGCACCCAACACATGGGATCTTGGCAATCACGTTGTAGCCCTCCGCAACTGTCGTAATTTCCGGTGCGGCTTCAGCAGCTCCGCATCGCGCAAACGCGAGAATCGCAGCGAGAGGCGCTATCCGGAATATCATGATGAGAGGTACGGTGATGAATTGTAGTAGGGTCACCCGTGTTGACACGTTTGAGGTTATGTGGCTGGGTCTGTATGTAAGCTGGGGCGGGTGGGGCGGCTTCCATGGGTCATGTGAAGTCGCGAGCTAGCGTGTTTGGAATACGAGATGCAGCACTCACATCGCTCCCAGTCTTCACAGAAGTAAGACTCTATTTACCAAACGAACTTGCAGCAGCATCGGGATATGAGGTTCTGTGTCAGGCATAATTTTAAAGAACCAATGTACAGCACAACTCGTTTCTTGTGCATCAGAGGTACCTAGGTATTTGTTCACATCATGTATAGCCCAAAATCAACCATATATACGCTCAGCCCAATAACGACCCAATCGCACTACGCCTCGCATCTATTCCCTCGATGCCCAGCTTTATCGGTCTTGGATGTCTCGTTAAATTTTATCCAGTCTCCTGGCAATCAACGCCATTCTCTCTCATCAACAACCCCATGATTTCGTTGTCATCGTGACCGTCGTATATACCATACTGCGCTCCTTCAAGCACTTTACTGGGAACCTCCAAATCATCTTCTGCCACCTCGTCTGCTGTATTGATGAACTCAGCTTCAATCCTCTTCGACAAAGCGTCTCGGATCGTCTTACACGCGGAAAGAGCCTCCTTTGCTTCTTTGTCGTCCAGATGTTCTTCGATATCGGCGAGCTTCTTGAGGATTTGGGCGCGGTTTGTGGTCGGACTTTGTAGCCCAAGTACAGGATCCAGCGTCAAGTGACTGGCAACCGCTAGAGCGCCAATCTCAATGATCTGTCTGCTTCGTGCAAGTTCGTCAGGTCGTGTCATATGCCGAATGACCGGGTTATCCGAGCGAACTGCAACATCTGTCATGCCGGCACTGTTGTGACCAGTGCCATGTTTCAGATCCCGGCGATCTCTCATCTCGTTCAGCGGCGTACCAATAGGAGTAGAGAACATGTCGGCGACGAATGTATCGTTGTACGTATAGTACGGTATGCTTGTTGGATTGAGTGGCCTTCCTCTCGGCGCCGGACCTTGACTCACACTCCTTCCATGTTGGAAGTGCGCGGCATGCCTTCTCTTGTGTTCTGGTGTGGCTGATCTCGCACGCGGTGCTTGGAGCCGAACGAAAGTGGGATTGGTGATGCTGTTGGCTGCGGCAATGCGATCTGTATCGCCAGTGCTCAAAGATCGACGACGACCGTAGCCTTGCGATGGCTGTTCTGAGTGGAGGTAGGCATGGTTTGTTTGAGATCGCATAGGCCGAGGACGATCGTTGAGGTCTGGATCATCAGTTGTTGTTGGGAAGGCTCGTTGCAGATCTAGCGGGTAGGGATGGGGTGTACTTGGTCCGGGAGTCGGGTATGCCGCGGCGGTTTGGCCGAAGTCGTAATTTGAGAAGTTGGGAGTCGAAGTTGTGGAGGTGTTTGGTGAGTCAACAGCTGCAAAAGCACCGTGTTCATATGTAAGACTGAAGTCATCGAGTATATCGCTGTTGTTCATCGAGAAGATAGGTTGCCCTGAGCCATCTGATCCGAATAGTTCGTTGAAGTCGGCTTGAGAGAGCTGTTCCTCCTCGTCCTTGGATGGAAGGAACAGATCGGCGGCTGTGTGACTGAGAGGCGCATTTGGCTGAGACATTCTGTAGGTTCCCAGTAGGATTGCAATAATGAGTAAATCGCGTATTGTTACCGAGATCTGCGGCTCTGTCGATACGGGAAGGATGTTACACAGGAAATGGGAGGCTGCGTAAACGATGTCCAGATATAATTACTGTTTGGTCCTTCCGTTGGCATAAGCTGAAACACGACGCGGTGAGTTTGGTGAGCATAGATGGTGGCGCTGGAGTAGGCCAATGGCCGGATGCCTACGTTGAGTACGTGGTCGATAGGCAAACATCGCTCCTGTGCATACAGTCAGTGCTCAGGCTCGTTTCGCGTAATCCTTGGCTATCTTGTCATAGGAGGACTATTTGCTGTGATGGGAAGTAGAGAATTAGTTGCGACATGCTCGAGACATTTGTCAGAAGTTGATTTCGCCAGTCAGCTGCACTGCGCATCCATTGTCTCGCAACAGTGTTGCAGATCCGAATCGCATCTGAAGGCTCTGTATGAGAGACAATTCACTGATTGCCTTTTTTGACTCAAGACACTTTGCTGTCAAAGATTCAGGTCTTCTGTATTCGTTAAGACATCTAGGTCATCACCTCATAAACGTGTTCCCGCAACTGGTCGGCCCCGGAGACCCTAACGTAGGGCACAATGGATGGCAGTCCTTCCCAAAGGCGATATCGTACATCCGTGTTATACAGGAGAATGCGACTCTGCAGACCAAAAGACGTGTTCACTCCTTCTTGTTCTCGCCGTCCTTTCCCTTCTTCTTGTCCCAATTCCAAACCTCCCAAATCTGTTCAAATATCATATCACCATAACTCTTTCCTTCTTCAATGGCTTTCTTTTCTTCCTCCAATCGCCGCTCCTTCCAACCCTCCTCCTCATCACCCATCCACAGCTTCCCAAGTATACCCTTTTCTTGCCCTTCCTTCCGCTCCAGTGTCCTCCGACTCTTTTCCCTTTCCTCTTGCAATATCTTCTGCATCTCCTTTGCGCGTTCGGTCGGTAGGTCCATGGCTCGCACTGGACTGAGGTTTTGTACGAGGCCGCGGCCTGTTCGTAGTGTGATGAGATGATCGGCGGAGAGGTAGAAGCCGATGCCTAGAGAGAATGTATAGAGGTCTAGTTTTCGTGGTGGGAGTATGGCTATTATTGGACATATGACGAGGCCGCCGATGGCTAGGTTACGTGTTATGCGCTGGTATCGGGCTTGTTGTTCCAGAGCGAGGCGCTCTTCTGGTGGGATGGGCATATTTTGGACGGGGTTCGGTGTCGCCATTCTGGTGAACGTGTTCGCGCAGTCGGTGTTGGAAATACAGTGGATTTCGGAGTGGATTGATTGCGCGTATAGGAGTTTGAGCAGGTAGAGTGCAGGGGTGATGTCAGAGTAGTTCGGTGGTCGCAATGTCAAAAAGTTCAATGATGCAAAGACGGCGGCTAGCTCCCGCCTCGGCTGCGGCTTCCCCTTCGGAGCGGAGGTGCTGCGGAGATCTGAAGCCACGCGAACAGTACTCAGTGCACAAGGTGACTTGGTTTAAACCGCTCGTGATTCAAATGCGCCTATTGATATGCTGTTCTCGACTCCCATTCCCGTTACGCCGTTGTCCCCATCCTGCCCCAACCATGCATAACCGACATCATAAAAACGCGCAAATCTCTCGCTGATTATCGTTGGAACTTCCTCCTCTTCACGTCGACTCTGTCTTCAAAGCGTGGACTCTGCCTCCCTGGCTTCTCTTCTGTTCTGTTTCCTAGATGCTCAAAGGTTCCACTACTCCTCAGCCGTTTCGTTGGGGTTCTCTCGTACTCGCTCCCACTTTGTCCACCTCTTTGCCCTTCTTCATCTGTCCCAGCCGGCCCGTCTGACCTGGGTCCATCCTCGTATGCATCGAATTTCCGCTTCTGCGCAGTGCTCGGCGTCTGCATCAAGCGCCGCAAACGGCTCTCTTGTAATCGCTTATTCACTTCTTCGGTGACATCGACATGTTGAACCACGTAGTCGTCTTGGATCCTGGCTCGCTTTGCGCGTGGTGTGGGCGATTGATCCACGAGAGGAGATATGGCATGCGGGTTGGAGTTCGGGGGTTGCGCATTTGGTGTAGTAGAGGCATGTTTCGCGCCCTCGATACTAAGACGCTTGTTTGAAGTCTTGACCTGTCGCTTGTTAGCTTTTCGGCATCGCGTGCGCAAACGGCACAGCATACCTTCTTCTTTTCCGCCAGACCTTCGTCCTCGAGCTGGTCCCTGAATCTCTTCATGTCGTCTTGTAACCTCCCCGACTTGTTTCGCAGTGAGATCAAGTCCGTTGCCAACCAGTCGGGGTCATTGTGATCCGTCGCATCGAGCGTCTCATTGAGAAACAGGAGTTGCGCGCGTAGGTTCTCGATGTGTTGATCAAAGTCCTGGAGAATGGATGAGAAAGGTGATGGGACAGGTAATTGTGTGAATTACCTCGAGCGAAAACTTCGCCATGTTGTATGGCAGAATTGTGGACGGACAAGAGAAACCGCATGCAGGAGGCTTCAACTTCCTTGCGGAGTCCCGAGCGCTTGGGTTAACATCCTCGTTCCGATCGGAACGTTCCGACCTTGGCAGCATCTTGAGATCTTGCCTCTTCACCACGAAGGGCCACTGTGATAGGTCAGACATGACATGCTGCATAGCTTGGTCAAAAGGAGATCGAAATTGTGTGGTGGGAAGTAATAGTATACCGTCACGGTTAAAATTGACATGTAATAATTTCACTACATTGCCCCATGTACTCACTACCTAGGTAGCATCTTGAAAGGTAGGACCTTTGAAAGCTCGTAGCCCTCGTATGCGACATTCAATGCTTTAAAGTAATCTTCATGCTAGAAGACCTCTGCGTCATATGCGACCCAGCTTGACCTGCATTCTCTCTCTTGTGTCACATGCATCGCACCGCTGTCGCTGGCCGCTGTGGACTAATCCCATGACCACGCGAGGAAGTTGCAGATGAATGAAAGCGATCATTGCCCAAGAGGAACCGGCAAATTCGATGGTCTCGCGCAGCCTGAGTTGACGTTGGTGTCAAGTAGAGATGACCACGATAGCTTTGTGACTCGATGCATCGTGTTTGACAAGCGGGTAATGTCTAACAGTTGAGATGCAACCGTCTTCAGCCTTCATCTTCGCCGAAAGTGAGCTTGACAGCTTTGGCCTTCTTCTTCGGTTTCTTCACAGACTTCGCTTCTGGCTTCTTCACATCTGCCTCTTCTCCTTTTTTGCTCTCGTCTTGGTCATCCCCGATGATCTTTGCCGCCTTGCGCTTCTTTGAGACTGCACCAACCTCAGCAATCTTATCTTTGGATTGCGACGTCGCATCACCATCTTTCTTCTTTCCAGCCTCGTCTGCAGCCGGCTCCCCTCCTTCTTTGTCGTCTTTGCCTGAGACAAGCGCATCATACTCCTCTTTACTCATCGACTGATTCGTCTCTTCCATGACATACGTAGGCGCATCATCATCGTCGTCGTCTTTCTTCATCCTCTTATTTCGCGCGATTGGATGTTCATGACGGGCTGTGTCTCCACTGGTGAGTTGCCCGCGCAGCCGCTGTAAGAAGGCTGGCTGTGAGCTGTCTGCGGCGAGTTAGCGAATGATACGATTGCGTTACATACAAACGTACCGAAATGGAGGTCTTTTGCTTTGAAGCTCATGGTGGTTGTAGTGCAAGGGATGTGCTGACACGGCATGCACATAAGGGTCTAGATTAGTCGTTTGGCTGAATGTCGTGTCGATCGCTTAGCGGCGGGTTTCCGTGCGGCTCCTTCGCCGCCTTAGCTGCGGATAGTTTACGATGCACTTGCCGTCTACTCTTGGTTCCAGAGAGAACTCACCCCATCGAAATGTCTAGTCGGGTGCCTAGATATGGCGGGTGAAAGCCCATCCCGAAACGTATTGGGCCGCTGCACCTGCTATCGGCATGCGTGCTAAAGGGCTTGGCGCGTTCCGCCGACAGGGAACATGTCAACTAGCAGATCTCGAAACGCATACGCAATCATCGGCCGCTAATAATTTACATTCAACGACCCTGTTCTCTCCTTTCACTCCCTCAGGGTTACAAGCTTAAGCCCGTCACGCCAATCGCCGACCCATCTCTGTTCTCGTACACCCACCTGGAGTCACGACCCACACGCTCGTTATCGACCAAGCTCCCTGGGTTGAACACGTCGCCCTTTCCTCATCCACAACCGTCGCATTCATTCGACGTCCTCTAGACCCCTCGAATTCGCTTCGCACCGCTTGCGACTGGGCCAAAGAGCAACAGGGCTGCCATTGGCAGGAAATCGCATACCAGACACGCCACCACTTGGGCACCACCATGGGCTTCCTGCAAGATATGACGAGGAGGCTACCGACCTCAAAGGACAGCCTAGACAAGCTGGACGACCTACCGCGCCGCGCCGAAAAGAACTCCCCACGGTTGTCCTTCTTTCGACGCAGGATACGGCTGAAGGGGAGTTCATCCGTGTCGATACCTCTGGGCCTGGTGTTGCTGTTTCCATGTCTCGTTATAATAATAATCATAATTCTGTTCGTAAAGTCTCCCGACTCGCAGGGCATTATGAACATGCCCGCCGGCGGCCCTCCCTCGATAAGGTACGTGAAATACCATCACCACAGCATCCAAACAACTTTTAACAATGCGCAGACGGATAAGCGAGAAGTACGATAAGCCATTCGCGGTAGGCTGCCTCGAGCCGCAGGTCAACGGACCCCGAGCAAACGCTGCATTCGTAGTCCTAGCGAGAAACAAGGAGTTGGATGGTGTCATACAGTCGGTCAAGTCGATTGAGAGACATTTCAATCGGTGGTTCCACTACCCATACGTCTTCCTCAACGACGGAGACTTCAACGAGACGTTCAGGGAGACGGTCTTGGCTCATGTCAGTGCTCCAGTGGAGTGGGGTAAGATCCCTCCCGAGCAATGGGGCTTCCCCGACTGGGTAGATCCAGATGTTGCGAAGGAAGGAATCGCCAAGCAGGGTGACAGGGCCATCATGTACGGTGGTATGGAGAGCTACCATCACATGTGCAGGTTCTACTCGGGGTATGTAACCTAGCATGCTTTCTCCTGATTGCCACTAACACGGACAGTAAATTCTACCAACACGAACTACTCGCCAAGTACGACTGGTACTGGCGCCTCGAGCCTGAGATCAAGTACTTCTGCGACATCACATACGATCCCTTTATCCACATGATCCGGAACAAGAAGACATATGGCTTCACCATCGCGGTGAAGGAGCTACGAGAAACCGTCCCCAACATCTGGCGATATGCCTCGGCCTACAAGCGTAACAACAACCTGACCTCCAAGGGCATGTGGGAGATGTTTGTGGAGAAACCGAAAGAGGAGGACGAGAAGGCGCCCAAGACAGAGCCCAAGTCGAAGAAGAACTTCTTTCCTCAGGATATAATGGATGCCGAGTTCGGCACAGAGGCCATGCCTGAAATCCACCCTGAGAACATGGAGGGCGAATCGTACAACATGTGCCATTTCTGGAGCAATTTCGAGATCGCGAACCTGAATTGGTTCCGCAGCAAGGAGTACAATGACTTCTTCGAGCTGATGGATCGCAGTGGTGGCTTCTGGATGGAGAGATGGGGAGATGCGCCTATCCACTCGCTAGCTGTTGGTGCACTACTTGGCCCTGAGGATATCCACTACTTCCGCGACTTTGGATACCGGCATACGACCATCCAACATTGTCCCGCCAACGCACCTGCGCGACAACTCGCCCGAGAGCCATATCTTGAGAAGACGACACTCGACGAGAAGGAGCGACTGGAAGAAGACAGGTACTGGGCGTCATATGACCCAGTCAAGGAAAACGGTGTCGGCTGTCGCTGCAAATGCGACCAGGACATTGTCGACGTAGAGGGCAAAGAAGGGTCCTGCCTCACGGAATGGGTAGAAGTGGCTGGTGGCTGGGCATCACCTGGGCCTGACGGACCATGATCTCTCCTTCTCGCGTGATATTCTATCAGCTTCAGGCTAGCATTTTGCGGGAACATTAGCATCTACTCCTCTTTCCAGTTAGGCGTCAGGTGTTGGCATTGCATATGGGCTGGGCCGCCCTTCAATAGAGCATCAGGACTACGCTGGCGTCGTTGCAGGCTTACTTACTTTCTGCGCATTGGCGACACAGTGTATGAGAACGAATACGAACAAGTTGAAACAGCTCTGCTCTTGAATGATGCCCTCGTTGTTTGGTCATGGGATTGCTTGCTTTAGATGACGGCCCCACCCCATT